GCATTTGTCATTTTTTCACAAAGCGAGCATTTACCGAAAAAACGACCGGACTTCATGCAAGAAACCGGTAATCATGCACCTGGATGTCCACGCGACTCAGTAATGCACCACGTTCATCCCAACTGATGCCCTTCCTCCTGCATGTCGGTAAGGATCAAAACACGGCAAATATTAGTCCAAGTGTTACGCTACAGCGTAGGGATCATTCCTGCTAATAGCGATCTGCGAATTTAGTGCAAAAACGCATGATCGCACCGGAGAGTCTGGTGCGTTCCAGCTGGATTCATTTTTTCAAAAAACGAGCATTTACTGAAGAACGGCCAAGCTTCATGCAAAAAATTGGCAATCGTCTACCTGGAGGTCCATGAGCTCTACAATGCATCACCTTCATCCCAACCGACGCCGTTTCTCTTGCATGCCGGAAGGGGCCAAAGCACGGCCATTATGAGCCCAATTGTTAGGCTACAGCGCAGGGCTTATTTCTGCTATTAGCAACCTGCAAGTTTAATGCAAAGACGCATGATCGTACCGGCAATCCTGGTGCGTTCCAGCCTGGGTTTAAAGAATGGTCGTTTGCCCTCCATCGATAAATGCAAATTTGACAATGAACAAGACGTCGGAATAGAGGGACTGCGAGGTTCACAAAACGCACTCGCTTGCGCGATAAAATAGAGCATTTCTCATGTCGTTGTGAAGAGAATTTAACTTGCAAGTTGTATTTAAGAGAAACATGAATACAGGATATCCTTGTAAAGTCTCAGCCTCGCAGTTTATCTTGTAAGCAAAACAGCCACTTCGCAGACGACAAATTTTCTGACAAGTCATCAACTACTGTTTTTCGGCTAGTTCTAAAGTCGCCACGGTGCCACATGTGAAATTTGACGTAACTGTGTGCTTGAGGTAGACAGGTAGCTGAATTTAAAATCTTTAGCTCATGCATGGGCAGGAAACAACAGCGTGAAACTTCAGCTCTCTACCTTGTCCAGCGTCGAAACCGTTTTTCCATCACAAAATATGCATTTTTTTTTCGGCGTCCGCGCATGAGATCCAGTCAAAAGTGAAACATTCAAGTTGTAAGAATGAGACGTATGCTGGAAAACCACTCGCAAAAAACTCAGCTTCCCAGCTCCTTGGTTGCTGCGTTGAAAGTTCACTTCGCCCTCCCCCTCCCACCACCCCCACACACACAAACACACACTCACACACAGACACACGCACACACAAGCACATACACACGCACACACAGCGAGCTTTTTGACTAAGCAAAAACACATAAAAATGAAGCATCGCACACGAGGTGGGAGCACGCTCTAAAAATTTCAGCTTCCTAGCTTAATTTTGACTGCTGAATTTGAAATTGGGTGACAAAATGACAAACACTTGCACACACACACATATGCCCACACACACCGACAGCCTGTCGCCAATATGCGGTTATGCATATTGGCTAATACATTCTTTGGTCAACTAATAAGCAGCCATGCGCACAAAGATCGATGCGACGAAACATTTTTGTGATATGCTTTTTTGGGGGGACAAGGACTTACAATGCACTGCATTTGCACTAACAAATTATGCACAAGCATTCACTTGATAACTTGCTAGACTGATTCACATTCCGGAGGCGCTGCACATATCGATCCAAAAGATGTTTTTGTATTTCCGACTAAGTCGTAACTATTACAGTAGCTCGAATCCTTTCAAACGGAATAATGAAAAAGACGTGGAATGTAATATTGCATGATGTGTTAAAAGCGGACGGAGAAGTGCGCATGGTTCCTTGTTTCAAGACGTAAGTACGATCTAAGATCTGTTTTTACTTTTGCGCTGTAGCTGGTTAGGAATACCAGGAAATTTAAGCTCAATCCCTATGAACCACGGTCGCAGGAAAAGTGAGTCACTGGCGATGCACACCAGGCGCGCCAGTGCGATAATGCGTTTTTGCACTGCTTCATGCTGTTGCAAGTTCGCAAGAACTTGTGACGTACTGGTCGTCGAATTTCAGGAAGTTAACTGTGCAGCTATGTGGTGTGCCAATTTTAGATGTCGCCTTCAATGTTCCGACAAACAGAAAGCTGCTGATGCGCGAGAAAGACCGTATGAGAAGAGCTGAATTTGAAATCTTTTAGTCGCACATGAGCAGGAGATATTCCTTTAAAATTCCAGCTTTTTAGCGACTTTCAGCTTTCTAGCTTTTCTTGTCCCAGTTTAGCAGTTTTCCTTCCAATACCTTCACGTGCCTGTACACGAAAAGCAGACACGCGTAACAGCTGATATCACAATCCTGGGATCGTAGCTGACCAGGGAACACATTGGCAAAAATTTCAGTATCAGAGTTTGCGTGGTTGCTAAGTAAAAAGATCTGGAGAACCGAACACACACACAGAGCCGTCCGCACAAAAATGGAGCTGGAAGTTGCGACCAGTGCCCAAGGAAAAAGATTTAGGAGAAGGTTCTGCCTTTCTCCATTTATATGAGGCTTGCTCATATATCCGGGAGACGCAAAAAAATGGGTTGCATCAATCAAAAAGGGGACAGACTGAACAAAGATCAGTCCTGAGCGCAATTTGGGAAAGAGGACAGAAGTGGGTAATTAATCATTGAGGAAACACTTGGCTTGTGAAATATCAAGTGAAAGTAATTAATTACAGTAGTGTGACAGAACACAGATTTCGAACCATTCATAACGCATTATGTGGGTAATTAAAAGTGCACATTTATGAGTTTCCAACCCATTCCATTCCAAAATCATAGAACTTTTCTAAATTTACGCCTGATGTCACAAACAAATAAAAAGTGAACATTGATCGCGCACTTTGAGATAATTAAAATGCACTGAGCATTAAAGTCTCAAAATTCCAAGTTCTCAGTTTTTTTTGTTCTTTTATCTCAAAATCATTGGCCTGGCCTTCAGTTTCCCGCCACAAACTTCAAAGAGCTTTGAGTCATTTGCAGGCTTCTGTACTGCTTTATTTTTCAAGGCACCGGATTTTCAATTTTTTTTTTTGACATTCAAGTCATAATTTCCGCCAAAATTCATGACAAGCAAATAGAAATCACACGCTAGTTT